GTCAACCTGCCAGCCAGCCTGCCAGCCAGCCTGCCAGCCAGCCTGCCAGCCAACCTGCCAGCCAGTCTCTCACCGTCAATTTATCTTCCTCCCACCAGCAGCTGCCTTCCTGCTGGCACAGGCACACCTGTACCTTCTTAACGGTGTCTACAGTGACAGTTTTTTTTTTAATAATTTGCATTGACTTCTTATTTTTTAGGACATCCGCCTGGGTATCGTAACTTCATCCTTCCTCACCTACGCTGTATTTAAGTACATTTTTTTTATTTTTTTGGGTGTTGTCATCACCGATGTGTTTGCGGGGTCGAGTGTTCACCGAGTATTCTTTAAATCTTTAGCGCTAGACCCGTCAGGGTGGTGCCTTGATGCTGCTGAAGAGCACTTGATCTGGGAATTGGAACTAGCCTCGGCTTCCTCTAATCAGGCTTTTTCTTATTCTGTAAGCCTGCATGTTTAACAGTCTCGTTAATATAATTTAGAAGTGACCAGCCGGGCTGTGGCTCGTACGTTGGTTTGCGTGCAGCCAGCAGTAACAGCCTGGTTCATCAGGCTCTGATCCACCAGGAGGCCTGGTCACAGACCGGGCCGCGGGGGCGTTGACCCCCGGAACTCTCTCCAGGTAAACTCCAGGTACCTATCTGGAGGGTTGACCCCGCTGCCTAGTCCATGACCAGGCCTCCCGGTGGATCAGGGCCTGATCAACCAAGCTGTTACTGCTGGCCGCATGTGGCCCATCGTACGAACCACAGCCCGGCTGATCGGGTACTCGGGTACTCACCGTATCACATAAATAGATCTGATTCAACTTTGTCAATTCTTGAGCAACCGGGTTGTTCATACGCTGGACTGCATGCGGGTAGCACCAACAGCCTAGTCGATCATGGCAGTAAGAGGGAGGCCTGGTCTGGTAGTGGGCTGTAAGGGCGGTGACCCCTGAAATCAGTGTAATCCATTCCCCCAAGACAAGTAGACGGTCATTTTCCCACTGTGATCGTGACTGAGTCCATTTTCACCTACAGAAAACACGGCTTTGAACGCTTATGTGAACGTAGCATTTTTCACCTACAGAAAACACGGCTTTAACGCTTATGTGAACGTAGTATTTTTCGCCTTCAGAAAACACGGCTTTAACGCTTATGTGAACGTAGTATTTTTCGCCTTCAGAAAACACGGCTTTAACGCTTATGTGAACGTAGTATTTTTCACCTTCAGAAAACACGGCTTTAACGCTTATGTGAACGTAGTATTTTTCGCCTTCAAAAAACACGGCTTTAACGCTTATGTGAACGTAGTATTTTTCACCTTCATAAAACACGGCTTTAAAGCTTATGTGAACGTAGTATTTTTCAACTTCAGAAAACACGGCTTTAACGCTTATGTGAACGTAGTATTTTTCACCTTCAGAAAACACGGCTTTAACACTTATGTGAACGTAGTATTTTTCAACTTCAGAAAACACGGCTTTGACGCTTATGTCAACGCAGTATTTTTCACCTTCAGAAAACACGGCTTTAACACTTATGTCAACGCAGTAACGGGAAAAAATGATCTTGCTAATATATTAAGTGAATTTTTTTGATCTGATAGCATTTTTATTGGAATTTACTGCAGCAGTTTTGATAATATTTAACAGTTAGTAGATACAGGCAAGTCACCTTCCACCTGCTGCCTCTGTCCACCTAGCAGTAAATAGGTACCAGAGTACTAGTCGACCGTTGTGGGTGGCATCCTGGGGGGGGGAGCATACCTTAGATAGGGCTGGATTTTGAAATGATCTGAGATAAATAAAATTATTTAACGATGTAAAACGCTTAATACTTTTTCAGAAACATGTAAAAATCAATAAATTTTACTAATAGTTTTAATTTCTCGTATATATTGAATTTAAGTAAATACTCGAGTAGTATCAATAGAGGCGATAATATCTTGAAAACAGCTTTAGATTCTGCTGTAACTAGTCTACTGCATTATATTGCAGCAATTAATGTTATCGTGATGTGACGTAAAATATATGGACTCTATAATGCGTTTTACGGCGCGGAAGAACGTAAATTTCCCATGCAGTGTCAGCCCTAGAATTTACACTATTAAAAATACCTTATCATGGACTACGCTTGTCGTAATTTCTCGCTATTCGGAAATAGTCAGTCCTCTTTATCACGGTTAATATACAGTGGGAGGTGTATGTCCTTGCATATACACCGAGACATATTATTACATATACGTATATACATTGAGAGGTGTATATCGCTCAGTATATGTACATAGACCAATGGAACGAATTAATAAAGGATGTACTAAGTGCAGCATTGGAAATTAATATGTATACTGGAGTACCTCGGTATACGTTCTTAATCTGTTCCAGGACCTTGTACTGATACCAAACAGGACGTAAACCAAACAAATTTTCCCATAAGAAATATAGGGAAAACGATTAATCCGTTCCCATGAAAATAAATCTTATTGTTGCCATATTATACATTGATGGGGTTGTATTAAATAATTTAAACACTGCTTAATACACAAATATGTAATTTAAACACTGCTTAATACAAAAATATGTAATTTAAACACTGCTTAATACAAAAATACATAAATACAAAATAATTAGATGAAATAAATGCAAATTTAACCTGACTTTGCTGAAGAGAGTCGAGTGTCTACTAGGATAGTGCTGAGAAGTGAGAAGGAAATGTTATTGTTAGGAAGGAGAGTCCCCCTTCTCTTTTCTGTCTCTTTTCCCATATTTGGACCTGGTTAAAGCTCACCAGGTTTGACTCTTACTAAAAATCTGTCAAAAGAAGTTTGTTTTTGCCTTCTCCTCAGGATGTTTCGGAAATGTGACAGTCTGGTCACTCCAGACAATGTTATTACGGCTTGTTTGGGCTTTGTTGGGGTGGTACTTCTCTGCAAAATTTTTGACATCCATCCATTTGGCAAAGATTTCTTTGATTAATGAAGTAGAGGCTTCCTCTGTCTCGTCTTCCGAGCCTGAAGAGAGTGCATCCATCTTAGTCTTGTGCTCCTCCTTCTCAAGTTCCTGCAGCTCCTTAGTTGTCAACTCTTCCCTGTGCCCTTCCGCTAACTCCTCCACATCACCATCACTCACATCCAGACCCATGGACCTGCCCAGAGAGACAATATCCTCCACTATAGACAGCCTCGAAGCCCTCAAAGTCCCTTTGTCACTGCTGCTGGCCACAAATTTCTCCAAGCAGAGTTTATTGTTCTATATGAAATTTCCTGCCAGGCTTTGTCAGTGAAAGTTATGCAATGGGGCGATAGTAAGGTGATCTTTCCAAAACTCTCAGGGTTAACTCTGTATCAGAGGTCACTTCAAAGCACCTCAGGAATATTGCTTTAGTGTAGAGTTTCTTGAAATTACTGATGACCTGCTGATCTATGGCCTGAATGAGAGGAGTCGTGTTAGGAGGGAGAAACTTTACAGTGATGAAGTCAAACTCCGGCAGCACATAGTCCTGCAAGCTTGGAGGGTGAGCTGAAGCATTGTCCATTATGAGGAGGGCCTTCAGAGGCGGATTTTCTCCACTAAATAACTGTTCACTCTTGTCCCAAACACAACATTAAATCATTCACTGAAATATTCTCTGGTTACCCAAGCCTTGCTGTTTGACCTCCACATTACAGGTAACTGAGTTTTCTGCACGTTATGTTTTTTGAAGGTCCTCGAGTTTTCAGAGTGGTAGAATAGTAGAGGGTTCAGTTTGCAATCCCCAGTTGCATTGGCACAGAACAAGAGAGTTAACCTATCCTTCATTGGCTTGCGTCCTGGTAATGCCTTCTCCTCTTGTGTAATATAGGGCCTGTTAGGCATTTTCTTCCAAAACAGGTCTGTCTCGTCACAATTAAAAACTTTTTGGGGAACAAAACCTTCAGCCTCCACAAATTCCCCGAACTCTGTAACATAATCATTGGCGGCATCTTTACCATTTTGACCCATACAAGTTCTATCACGCGAGTCGTATTCCAAAGGCCGTATACCAAGCAAAAATTTTCGTGTCCAAACAGGACGTATACCAAGTTGGACTTATTCCAAAGCGGACGTATACGAGGTACCACGTGTATATATATATATATATATATATATATATATATATATATATATATATATATATATATATATATATATATATATAATGTCGTGCCGAATATGTAAAACTGGTCAGTTAGCAAGAACTCATTTAAAATTAAGTCCTTTCTAAAATTTTCTCTTATACGTTTAAAGACATATTTTTTTCATTAATGTTAATGTAAAAAAATTTAATTTTGCACCAAAAGAATCTTAGAAAACTTACCTAACCTTATTATAGCAAGCGCAATTTATTTTAGCCTAACCCAACTAAATATATTTTAAATACGTTTACAGTAATTTAATACTAAATAAACACAATCAAATATATATTTTTCGTTAGGTTCAGAATGATTTTGGCGAAATTATTGCATACACAAATTTTCACTTGTCCTATATGGCAAGATGAGCGTTGCTATTTAAGCCAAGATCGCAAGTTCTGCCTATTCGGCACGACATATATATATATATATATATAATATATATATATATATATATATATATATATATATATATATATATATATATGAACAAATTATTGAAAACGGGACACCACGAGCATATCTCTGCTCCTGTAGCTTCAAATGGGCAATTACTGAAAATTTGCTTTTAATCCCTATTTTGGAGTTAAACTATCGTTGACTGGTGGAGTTCAGAGAAAAAAAAAAACAGCCTTAATGACCCTCCTGGAATTAATAGGCTGTAAACCTAACCATAACTTACATTACAAACCTTATCACCAAAGATTACTATGATATTACTGAGTGTAATTACTCTGGTTGTTCTGGCAATTTTTTTTTTTTTACCGCTGTGTTCTAATTACAAGCTTCTCACATAGAAAATTAGTTGTTATTTCCCCGCTTAACGAAGCTTGATACTAAAAACTAATATATTTTTCTCTCTCTTTACAGGAGCTGCATAGCGTGGAGCCTAACTAGTGCCTTAGTAAATACGACCACTCTCCACTAGCCATCAGAGATACACCAAGACCCAATGCCTCCTACCTCGTGCCTTCTTCCTCAGCTGGGAACGTTCCCCGTGCCTTTTGTTTCAACATGAGCGTTCCTCAAGCATTCTGCCTCAGCTGAGAACGTTCCTCGAGCTTTCTGCCTCTTGATATCAACATTTATTGTGTATTATTAACATTTATTGCGTGTTTTTCCACTGCTGTTAACGTTTTAAACGTGCCTTTTGCCTTTATAGGCTCGTCCCCGGTGCCTTCTATCTCATTTATAAACGTTCCTCGTGCCTTTTGGACGTACACTGAACATACGTGCTTTTATTGCCTACTTAGAACGCAACTATAGACTAAGCAGTGAATGTTGATTGTGCTACCTGTAGTGATTAATCCTAGTTTCTGGGACACTGTGAACGTTGGTAATAATGCTATTTGTGTAGGGAACGTTGCATGTAGTGAACGTTTATTGCACTTTGTATCCGTATAGTGAACATTGCTAGTGCCTTCTTTATCCGTACAGTGAATGCTGGTGGTCTGTTCCATCAGTGTAGTACAACGTAGTGAAGAACTGGCATACCACTGTGCCTTCCCGAGTCTTGTAGTGCTTGTGGTGTTAGGCATCAATGTCTTTGCAAAGTTTGTATTATTAAACGTTCGTTTAGTACTGCACCTTATGTACTTGGGAGGAAAGTAAGAGCTCCTGAAGGTGTTGAAGGAGTGGCAGGTGAAGGTGGAGTGAAAACTGGGGTGTTATTGAGAATTGTAGAGCCCCCCGGGCAGTCATTAGTCGGGGTGGATCTACCGGGTATGTTTCCACCTGGAGGCGCAGGTGGGTATGGCCAGGAGGGGGGCCAGAACCTGCTCTCCCCCTCCATGTACACCTCTCATAGTCATACCCACATGCTACCCTACAATTCTTACTCCTCCCAGTTGGTGCAGCCATCCACACCCTCACCCTCCATGTGGCAGTCCTCCACCCACACTGCCCTGGTACCCACAGCTCCGCCCACAGAACAGACCTTCTCCTCGCCTCTGAGCTTTAACTGTGGGCGAGAGGGGTATCTTCAAGGGGCCGGAAGCCAGAGTCTACAGGCACCCTTCAGTTCGTATCCAACGTATGCTCAGATGAACCATGGAATGTGGCGGCATTACGACTCCATGAGTCTTCAAGGTTTTACCAGTGAGTATCACAATTTTAGTCTTATTTACTTATTAAACAAAACCTGCTTGACTATTAATGTTATCAAAAAACCAACAGCGCTGCTACAGTCGCGGAAATGTGGCTATGCCACATATCTAAGTAACAGAAATATATTATTTTTCATCCATTTTTTTCCAAGCTGGAAAAAATGGATGAACAATGATATATTGGTGAGATCACTTAGATGGAACTCTTTATTTAATAGACAAGTGTTTGTTTTCATTGTGTATGGACATGTTTAATGTATTAACATGTATAATTCATTGGTGTGAATAATGTATTAGTATGCAGTGTATTGTCATGCATAGTGTAGTAGCATTAAACTTCATAATTCAGGAGGGAGAAAGGAACTATACTCTACAACGGGTAGTTATATTTTAAGGTCAGTGTCAGGACACTATCCTGACTTGTTCTTTTATTATCCGTATTCGTCAGGAAACAGGACAAGTGTTTCCTGACATGTCTTAGTCATATAGATGATCCGTGCTATGTTAATGTTCTACACTATACTGACGAATATTATCCAAAGCAAAGAAAATCTAAGCTACGACTGTGACCTGGTCGTTGGTGGTCGTTGGCAGGTCAGCTGCAAGCCACTACTTGACCTAGATCAGGGGTCTTCAAACTGCGACCCGCAACAACTTCAAATATAAATAGCGAAACTTTAATAAACCCTCATTTTCAGTCGCTTATTTATTTAAATTTAATTCATTCATTTATATTTATAAGACTCATTTCTTTGGCCGCAAAAAATGTGCAAAATATAAACTGTGGCACCGACGGTGGCAAGTTTAGTGACCCCAGCCCTAAATTAACGTCCAAGTATCCCGTTCTTCTTGTTGATTCGCCGGTATTCTCCCGGCCCGGGCCTTTTCCAAGTGGTGGCCCGGCCTTGGCTCCCTGTCTAGGGAGTGTCTGACTGAGACCTAAGTCTCCCATGGGAGGAGGCACAAGTACCTCCTCATCTTTGGGACCAACTGTCCCCAGGCCTAATCATCATTAAATAAGTCAATAAAAATTAACATTTTATCTGTTTCTGTGTAATAAAACAATAAAAATGCAGGAAAAAAATTAGAGAAATAAAAGTGAATAATATAATGTCCCAAATTGTTATAAAATACCCCAGACTTTCATAAATATAAAATACTCAGACATTTACGCTATATAAAATAACCCAGACTTTTATAATTATGGAATATCGTACACTTATAAATACTGAATATATAAATATACTCCAAATCATTACAAATATAATATAAATAAGTTTGAGTGTCTTTAAGGAGCCTAGCAACAGCGGGGGTCCCACACGAGCATGACCGGTTAAGGCATTAGCTTGGCAGGTTATACAATCGGCTATACATTTACCCATGTAATGAGCCAAGTAAATTAGCCTCATTCAACTCCTGTATAGATGTGACAGCTGGAATTAGCACATTTATAGTGGGAGAAGTCCAGTGTGACAGTGAATCGCTGTGCAGCTGTAGTTCAGTGTTGTGAACTGTGGCTCTATCTAGTACAGGTGTGGCTCTGTAGTTCAGTGTTAGTGTGTGTCACAGCTGTGGCTCTATATAGGTCTTTGTTCGTCTCATAATATTAATTACTTCGTTTAAATTTTAAGGAACCAGCGTCTATTAAGTTATTTATAACTGGTTATGGAATATCTTCCACTTGGCCAGAGCCCAGACCCAACCTTTTTGGAAATGAGATCAGAGGATTAAAAATGTATTAACAAGCTCCTGTGAAAGTAAATTTGTGTATGGTGAATGAAAGTAGAGGTTTGCAAGATTTACCTGCCAACTTACGTGTTAATGAGGCAAAAGAGAAAATCAGCAATCCTTTCATTTCACACACACCTGACAGGAGGGATATGTGGGGCTGCGGGCCAGCAACAGCAACAGCCTGGTTGACCAAGCAACCACCAGACGAGCCTTTCCAATGGCCGGGATCCAGGAGTAGAAAACTCTGAATTCATCAAGGTATATCAGAGGTAACGGTACCTCTCGAAATGGTTGGCATTTACCATACCACTACATTTTTTTAATATGCCTGGAGATAGTTCCGGGGGTCAACGCCCCCGTGGCCCGGTCTGTGACCAGCCGGTATATTGTCTGTGTAAAGTAGGTGTTAATCAGCTGTTATTAATGGCCTGTGGGGGTGGGTAAGAAAGGTCGTAGTAGTATACCATAAATACCTGAGGTATCACAGCTCTTAGGTTGTAAATCATCTGGTATCATTACATTCATGATACACAGTACTAAAATTTTGCTTAAGAGATGTGCAACACATATCTTTATTGAGAGACGTTTCCCCAACCAGTGACTTTTTCAGTTCGATATAGCCAGTATATACTGGAGACAGTGGCAGCAGAGAGGGACAATTACTGGAGACAGTGGCAGCAGAGAGGGATAATTACTGGAGACAGTGGCAGTAGAGAGGGATAATTACTGGAGACAGTGGCAGCAGAGAGGGATAATTACTGGAGACAGTGGTAGGAATGAGGGGGATAATTTTGATGTGTTCAGTTCCTTAGCCGCGATAGAAGCTAAGGGGTCGAACACCCTTGTGTCTAGCATGTCATTAGCATCAAATGATATCCTCTTTTAACTTTTAAAGTGGTGGCCTGCTAAGCCAGCGGAAGGTCTCGGTCAGTTAACTAAAAGTTCCAGTGATTTTTCATTATGTGAATAAAACCCGCGTCATAGGGCACATAACTTGTTTCCTGACGAATTGTACCTAACTTGAACACGTATTAAATCTGAGGACTGAACGCCTCAAAATTCTGCTGCTTTTACTATTTCATTATATATTCTTTCCCGGTTTGATGCAGTAGCCTCCACAAGCAGTATATATATTATTATAACCACGAACGAGTGGTATTTAATCAATAACAACACTGCGACTAGCCGAGGATAATTACAACATGTAGTATACTTTATCTTGGTTACCGATGTTTCACCTGGACACCAGGCTTTTTCAGTCGAATACAGAGGCGACTTTTATAGTTGAGACTGTAGAAGACGTGGAGAAGTAATTTACAGGTATTTATTCACCACCTATTGCACCTCTCAAGCTTCAGTAAAAGAGTCCTCCGTCAAGGTTCTGCTTTAGATAGATCAACGCCCAGAGGTTAAACACCTCAAAATTACCTCGCATTTCTTCCACTGTAAAGTCACCTATGTATTAGGCGAAGCATTTCGGCTATAAGGATACCCAAGTGTTGCATGTGTCTTATTTATCAACTTATCTAAATGTTTGGAAAGTGGATGAGTTTTCTTGGTCATACTGCACGTTTATGTTCAGTCAGACGTTTGTAAAAAGCTTCGAGCTGGCTGACAGTATATATACTATGATACAGTTATTACAGGGGATAATATAAACACCTGGTGCTTCAGCAGACATGGTTCTTGTGTTTATAAAAAGCAAGTGCTGAGTTTATTAGGGTATATAAAAATTTGAGATTTTTATTATATCTGTTCTCTTGATCACAAGACACCAACCACTAACTGTATCGTCTCCTTGTTTAGTCGTGACTGCTATAGTGTAGAAGTTCTTAGCTTTTTTTTTTTTTTGTAGAGCAGTTTGTAAGAGCCAGTCAGGAAGCCTAAAGCTTTGAATTGTTTCCAGATGGTATCCTTTTCTTAGTCTCTTATGTGTGTTGCCTCCTGCCTCGATTGTATATTTTGCAGATGAAGACGCCAGTTGTAAGTCGAAATATGAAGTCTTACATTGCTATTTTGTTGTTTATATGTAAGATTCCTTTCAGCATATATATATATATATATATATATATATATATATATATATAATATTATATATATATATAAATATAGTGTTATTTTGTGTGTGTGTTAATGTGTGTTGAACGTGTCTTGGGAAGCCTGTTGTGAACGGTGTCCAGGGCACTAATGGATCAACACACAACTCTATCATGACTACTCCCCATGAACCAGTATTTATCATCGACATACATCTTTGAGAAGTGACGGAGAATGTTTTTATAACTTGATCTTCCAAGAGGGCTACCACCGCCCTGCCTGATTTGAATCTAAATACCAGCCGATATGTCCATTAGTGAGGTGTGAAGTGCGAGGCTACCGTGTTCTCTCCATCAGTGCCCCGGAGCTTGTCTCTTTCCTTAGTACTTGTATATGTCTCGTTGTGTTGTACTATTGTACTAGAGAGAACATTCTTTTCATCAACGTATTTGACAATAATGCCAAGACGTGTATGTTTTTAGCTCAAGATTATCAGCCTTTTAATTCAAGACGAAACGGTCAAACAGAAAAAATCTCCATTTTCTTTTCCAATTTTTTTTAATTAAGAAACAGGACATATTAAGTAAATATCTTAAGCTCTCATGTGACAAAGAAACAAATTTTAGATGCACGGCATATCCCGATGTACTTAACCTTTCTAGGGTCAAAATTTTAGATATACGGCATATCCCGATATACTTCGTTACCTTTTCTAGGATCTAGTTCCTAGTCCTCTTGTGTATCTAGGCAGGTTTGCTACCGTTCATAAGATGGCAATGGGGTGCCTAATGAACTAGCCATTGTAGTCTCAAAAATCATCTAATTCTCGTATTGTTATTACATATGTTCTTTAATTAATATGATATACAAATTATTAATATGCCAACCAATCTGAAGAAAGTCAACCTAAAGCTAACCTTGTTTAAGTTAACATAATTAACTTGAGTCATCGTCCCAAGCTATACAGAATGGAAACTAAAATATTTCTTTACAATTCGAACCGTAGACAGCTGAAATAAGAGCCAAAAAGTATTAGTATGTTCTAAAAAAAACCCACCTGGAATATAAATAGCCATAATAGCAAAGTTTTTTCTCTTCCTTGAATTATATGTGATTTCCTCCCATTTTTCCCGATAGGTTTAGCGATTCCCCGTGACTAATAATAATAATAATAATAATAATAAATTGTCCGAAGCTAAAAATATATAATCACACAAATATCAC